CTTTGCTTCTGTCTTGATTTGGATTTCCTTTTTCCTATTTCTAATCTCCAGATCAATGGAATGATACATTATCTAGGAAATGATTCTAGAAGATAAACCATTTACTGGATTTTCTTATAAGGTCTTATTTGCCTAGGATACATTTTCCAATAGAAACCTTAGGAAGGACACAGGGAGGCAATATTTTGAGACTTTGGACATAGAATTTTATCTTGGGAATCTTCTTCCCTTAGAACTTTTCAGATCATTCATCTCTTGTGTTCTTGCTTCCGGTGTAGCCATTTGGAAGTTTGAAGCTGTTTTATTCTTGACCCTTTGCATGTTTTTTTGTTTGTTTGTTTCCTTACTGAAAGTCCGTAAGATCCTTTTTAGGTCTAAAGTTCTGATTTTTAAAAATAATGTGCTTTGGTGTGAACCCTTTATCATCCATTGTTTTCAGCACACAATGGGTCTTTCTATCTGGAAATACATATTCAATTCTAGAAAATTTTCTGTCACTGTTTCTTTTACTATTTCTTTTGTTCCTTTTTTTTTTTTTCTGTTCCAAGTTTCTAAAACGTGTATTATTTGGATACTGAACCTCCTGGATATATTAGTTTGCTAGGGCTGCCATAAGAAAATACCATAGACAGGTGGTTTAAACAACAGAAATTTATTTTCTCATGGTCCTGGAAGCTAGAAATCCATGGTCATCAGTACGTCTCCCAAGGCCTCTCCTCTGGGCCTGTAGCTGGCTGCCTTCTCACCATGTCCTCACATGCTCTTTCCTCTGTGCTCTTGCAGCCCTGATGTCTCTTTGTGTTGAAATTTCCTCTTCTTACAAGGACACCAGCCAGATTGGATTAGGGCCCACCCTACGACCTCTTACTTAATCACTTCTTTAAAGGTCCATCTCCAAGTATGTAGTCTCATTCTGAGAAACTGAGAATTAGAGCTTTCAACATATGAATTGGGGGGTGGGAGACACAGGTCCATAACATTGGACTTGTTTTATTTGAATCTTACTTCTCATCTCTTTGTCTCTTGGCTCGTACTTTTTGGGAGATTTCTTCAACTTTAATCTTCTAACTCTCCTATTAACTTTTTATCTCTAATATCACACTTTAAATTACTACAGCTCTTCTTGTTTTCATTATACTTGTTTTTAAAAAGGCATTGCTTTTACTTTTAGGGATGCGATATAGACTCGTCTACACAAGAACATTAAATATAGTTGGATTCTTTCCCTGACTTTTCTTCTGCCTACATCAACTCTGTTTTCTTCAAATTACCATTTTCCATTTATTTATCTTGGTTGCTATCTTAAATATGAACTGCTCTCCTCAATTGTCTATTGACTGTCAGTCGGCAGGGCATTTAAAAGCTGATGTACTCAGGGGTGAGTTTTGTCCATAAGCGTCACTGTAGAACAATGACTCTCTACTCTTGCTGCATATGAGAGTCATCGGGGGTAATTATAAAAATATGGATGTCCAGGTTTTATACCAGACCAACTGAATCAGGTTTTCTGGGAGTGAGCCCAGGTAATGAAACATTTTAAAACGTCCCAGGTGATTTTGTTGTACACTGAGGGTTGAGACTCTGCTGTTGAGTGCCTTAGCTGGACCCAGTTGGAATGGCCAATGTGCCATCTTTTCTCTTTTTTTTTTTTTTAAAGATTTTTTTTTTTATTGGGGAATTGGGGAATGGGAACAGTGCTGGGGAATTGGGGGAAGGGGAACAGAGAAGTTGCTGTCCTTTTTTGTTCTTCAGTCTAGTTGTGGAGGATGTTGCTTCACTGGCCCAAGTTGGCACCATCATTGCGCTCATCTCTGGCGAGGCAGATCAGTCGCCGGCTTCTGGACGGCCGCTCACTGCGGCTGCTGGCCGCTCACGCTGGCTGCTGGCTACATACGGTAGCCCATGGCAACCCACTGCCACAGGGACTGCAGCCTACGCCGTCGCTGGTGACTCATGGCAGCCCAGCTCCAGGTCGAGCTGTTGTTCAGCATCTTAGCTGTGGAGGGCAGTGTCACTGGCCCTCATATGTGGGATCCGAACCGGGGCCCTCTGGCATCCCAAGCGAGTTCTTAACCATCGCGCCACTCGGCCGGCCCCTGCCATCTTTTCTCTTGAGCTTGTCAAATACCCAAGAGAAACCTGGAGAGACACTCTGTCCTCTTCAGAGAATAAACTTCTAGTCTTTTGCCAGGTTGGGAAAGGGGTACCTGCCAAGCTCTGTGGGATAGCTACTATTTCTTAATAAATTATAATCAATTCTCTTTTATTGAGCATGTCTTCAGACCCCCTGCTCCAATTCCAGAGGTATCTGTTGACTCCAATTATCGAGGTTTTTGGGGCTCTCTGATAACTGGGTTGCTTACTGGCTTCTTCCCCCACATATCTGATGTCTCCTTCTCCAGGGCCTCTCCATGTGTCTTTGGCTTCTCCAGCATGGTCACAGGGTAATCACACATCTTACATGGCATCTGGTACTTTAAGAAGGGCTGTTCCAAAGAGGAAGAAGCTGCCAGCCTAACTAAGGGCTAAGTTTGGAACTGGCAGTGTCACTTTCACTGTATTCTACTGGTCAAAGCAGGCACACAGCCCACCAGATTCAAAACATAAAGAAATAAACGCCACTTCATGATAAGGGGGTGGAAAGATCACACTACAGGAGAGATTATGGGATGAGATGTATTTTATAGCCATATTTGGAAAATACAGCCTACTGCAGAGATGCGTTGTGGAAAAGTAGTTGGCTGCAATATGAATTGTTCCAGTAACTGCTGAAGAACATAAGGAGGTGATCAGATGAGGTGACCGAAGCTGACATTTTTCAAGGCAATGCAATTACTGGTGAAGACAAAGGTCTACCACTGCCCATAGGGATGAAGTGGCAGAGGAGTGATGGAGGACAAGTTCTCTGGAATAGGTCAGGTAACTGAGAGGCCAGGGGGCTAAACGGGAAGTTAAGATAAAAAACTGAGACAAAGACCCTTCTTCCTTGAGGAAATCACCTCTTATGCAGGTACATCTCTCTACCCCCTTTATCTCTATAGCTTTTTTCCTGACAGTCGTGAGAAGGTTTTTACCCACCCACCTCCCCCACAAAAAAATATCACATAACAACATAATCTAAAAAGCAAAAAGTATGTATTTAAACACCAAATTAGTTGGCAGTGCTGTTCAATTTAGTTGTTAGAAATTTAGTTAGAAATAAAATTCAGCTGCAACATCCATAGTGCAACTCTTAATACATGGCTGATGTTTTATTCTAGAGCAAATATATGCAGAAAAGTTCTGCTTGATGTTTTGAGCAATGCCATATATTATATTGATCAAGTCTTTCTAAATTTGTTATACCTAGCTCCCTGACAGGTAGGCATTACGATATATAGCTTTCTTGGACTTATTTCCTTTTTAAACTATCTAGGATAGAAAGTAGGAAATAACATGGGGTGGAGACAGCCTTGAACAACAAAAATCAATTAGCAGATAGCTGGAAAATTACACTGTTTACTGGAAACATGAAAAGTTTAAAAGATTATAGGGAGATCTATGTCCTTCCCTAATCATTCCCATGATATTAAAGACCTATCTGATTAAGAAGGTTCTTGATTTTAAGTGACAAACACCAAAAATTTGAAGTAGGCAAATTCAAAATATTCATCTAAACATTTATTGAGTGAATATTACATTATCAAAGAAACAAGTGATTAATGAAAATTCTGCTTTCAAAAAGCTTACAGTCTAGTCAAAGAGATAGCCATAGATATCATGATATACAAAAATATAAGGTAAACACTGTTACAGTTTTATAAAACAAAGCTCTGTAGGAGCATAGAGAAAACAATTTTGACTGGAATAAAAGAAATGAAATTCCACCCAAGTCAAAATATAATTTTGACAGACTGGTTGAATATAGGCAATAAAATAAGCAAATGGAAAGACAGACACCTGTCTGGCATGTTTGGGAAATGCTAAGAGGTCCGGTGTGGCTGGAACACAGGATGAAGAGAATCACAGAGGATCCCATATATGATGGTAACAAGTCTGGCTTTATTCTGTAGGTACCAGAGAGTAATCACAAGCTTTTTGAGCTAGGGAAGTTAGGTGGTGGGTGTATGTCATAGTTCGATCCATAGTTTATGTAAAAAGCTAAAAGCAGAGTGCAGGATGATATGGAAATGGGGGACTGAAAATATAGGCAAGATTAGGTAAGAGGCTCCTATAATAATCCAAATAAAAAATAAAGTTGGCTAGAACCCCCAATATATTTAGACATTAACAAGCTGAGAACATCCTAAACTGAATATAGACAATCCAGGAAAAAAAATCTTAAATATTTATAATTTATTAAGTTTAAAGAAATAAAGCTAGTTAAATAACATAAAACAAATGGAAAATAACTACAAGGTGTACAATTAAAAACTGAGTTGTAACATTTTATATTGACTTATAAAGGCCATTCTGATCTATACTATTTAAAGAAGTATTAGCAAAATGCTACATGGGGATATTTAAAAATAACATTAATTCTATCAATCATCTGTACATAATTTATATAAAAATGTTTTTTCCACCATGGTCAACCAATAAGGAGAACTCTAATCAACCTTTTGTAATTGGCTGGCACACACTCGTACAATGCCAATGGAACTTCACTAGCCTAAAAAAACTAAGTGAAATTAGTCAGAAATAATCACCATGTATTTACAAAACAATCAATATACTATTTGTTGTTCAGTCAACGAATATTTATTAAGCTCCTCCTATTTTCCTGGACCAAAAACATGTCTGTTACCTTACAGAATTCTCTATCCATCCTTCAAGATAAGTAACAGTGCTTTTTATATAAAAGATAAAACTAAAACCAGACTGACAGGAACTTGCTCAATACCATAAACGGTAACATATTTAATTACATTAGCTGCCAATTTTAAAGGATCGATTTCCCATTTCTGTTGTTACTACTTAAAACTACTTGAAGTTTTTGCTTCAATGTTTCCTTTTCTTGAATTCGTATGGATATAAGCAGTATTTTTAAATTTATATCACCATCTCTTCTCTTTCTTGTCTCCCTAAGGTCATCACTACATATCTATTTCTTGCTTAAAAATTTTAATAAAATATATGTAAGTGGGAATGTATAGTATTAAGTATTACTCTATCATTCTGGAATTTAAAAATGACACATTTTAAAAGCTACACATATTAAATAGATACGAAGTATGATTTCCAAAATATAGTTATATTTAAAAAAATTAACCTCATTAAAATTTTTGGTTTATAAGTTATAATCTTAAATACAGGATGTTAAGAAGCTTAAGTGACTATGTGTTATTATGGTCAGCCACATATAAGGTACTAAAATAACATATTCTTTTAAGTTTAAAATAGCTTTCCTAAGAACTGGGCTCATGGGTGGTTCCTTATTTTAGCTCAACTGGAATTAAATTATAAAAGGAGTATTTTCCTTTATTATTATGGATAACTACAGCCAAAAGGTCAAACAACATAGAATTCAATAAATATTGAAGATAATACAATAGTAAATATCAAATTCTAGCCAACAAACATCCAATATTACCTAAGCACTGATTACCTTATAGAAACGTTGTTCTATTAAAAATATCTGACTAGAAAAGGAAGGAACTATAAAGAAACATACTACATTTGAGGTCTAGCAAATGTCCTTATTTTACAGATCAGAGATTGAGGCTCAATCTAGATAAGTAACTTGCCCAAGTCATATGCCAATGGCCAAAGCAGGACTATTCTTGAGCCTGGCTCTCTTAGCCGTACCTGTGTTCTCTCATTGTATGACTTAACATACTACTTATGCACTACATTTTAACTTTAATTTAAAAAATTACCAAGCAATAAAACTTTTTCTTTACAGCCCAAGAACATTCTAGCTTTTCTCAAAAATGAGCATGACAAGAATAGGATGCAGTTCATAACATTAGATTATTTTGGTAGCTTCCGTTAGATGAGAATTTTATACAGGAAAATGTTCGCTTTACATATGATTTGGTTTGGCTGCAAAATGCTTATATAAAAGTCACAGGTTTAGGACCTCTTTATATCATAGTAACTTCATATGTTGTGAAATGGTTTTCTATAATCTGGACATTTTCTTCCGAGAGCCAGTTCTCCTGCTTCAGCTGCCTTATAAGAGCTTCCAATGACTTCAACCTCCCTAGCGTTTGTTGCTCTTGCAGCTCCAGGAGAGTTATCTTCGAATGCAGTTTAGAGACTTTCTGCCAGAGATGTTCCTTATTTATGTCTTGCCTACAGTAAGAATGTTCAATTTGTAACACTTCTGTGTCATAGTCCACATCCTTATATAAGGGGTCTTCAATGTCTATGTCTTCCATTTCCACAGTTTCTTTCGGGACAGGTATAAAAGAATTAAGTGTAGGTTTGGGATTTTCTGTGGGCACAAAAATGGCAATAACAGGTTCTTTACTCATGTTCAAGTCTTCAACCGTTTGAGTAATTGTGCTGAATAAGAATGGATTTTCCTGTGCTGACTTAATTCCCATGGAATTATTTGTAACGTTTGGATGAGCAAAATGATCCGTAGTTACTTCAAGCACTTCCTGGGCTTCGGAAGACTGTTGAAAACCTCCTGACTTTGAAGTTGTCAAAGTACTAGTCGCAGAGTTTAGATTCTCAAAAGATGTGTGAAAACCACCTATCCCCGTGTCTTGGTTAACTAATGTTTCCAAAGTAGATTCTGGTTTTCCCGTATCTTGTTTAACTAGATTAAGAGTTAATACATTATTGTGCATAATTCCTGTTTTTGGAGCTGGTGGCTTCACCAAGGCAGATGAATCAAGGAATTCTGCATGTTCAGAGAGAAAATCTGTGTTAACTGTATTTTTCTTTGGCTCATTTGATTCTTCTGACTTGGCTTTTAGACACAATTCTTTCTCATCATCTAATTTTTTCTTCTGACACTTTTTTTTTGAAGGGTCTTTTTCCTAGAAAATAATATTTTCAAATTCTAAAAAAGATGTCCTTACTAGGCTTATATTTTCTCTTGTTAGTCAGTGCTGAATGCTTAATTACAACTTTGAGCAGAATATTGGCCAAGCAAATTTATTCAGTTAAAAAAAAAATGTTCTAAGTACATAATAACTCGAATAGACTTTAAAGTGTGTTTTTTTTCAAGTGATTGAAACAATTTAATAAACTTTAAAGAGGAATATGACTATTAGATGTTTACTTTTTTTGTTATTATTTTTTAGGTTTTTAAAAAAATTATTGAAGTGAAATTCACATAACTTTAAAATTAACTATTTTAAAGTGAACAATTCAGTGGCATTTAGTATATTCACAATGTTGTACAACCACCATCTCTATCTAGTTACAAAACATTTCTGTAACTCCAGAGTAACCCATTAGTCAGTTTAATCCCCATTTCCCCACTCCCTGTAGTCCCTGGCAACCACCAACCAATCTGTGGATTTACTTATCCTGGGTATTTCATATAAATAGAATCATATAATAGGTCATGTTTTGTACCTGGCTTTGTTTTGGAGGTTTGTCCCTGTTGTAGTGTGTATCAGTAGTTGATTCCTTTTTGTGGCTGACTATATTCTAGTATAAGCATATATCACAATTTGTCTATCCATGCATCCTCTGATGGACACTTGGGTTTCCACATTTTGGCTATTGTGAATAGTGCTGCTACAAATAGATGCTTATTTTTTATTAGAGTTTCTTCTGTTAATAGTCGCTTATTATAGAAAATTTAGAAAATACAGAAATGCAAATAACCCCAATTTAAATTGTGGTATAGATCTTTTCAGTATTTTTATGTGTTTTTTTTTTTAAGCATTAATCATAGTCACTATATGGTGGAAACATTTCAGATCACTCAAAAGGCCAGCAACAAAATGTCAGATCATTAACTTAGGATAATAACTTAATGATTTATGTATGTGTTATTTTTTGCTCCCTTTAAGCTATGCTTCACAATGGTTTAAAGTTTTTACAAATTATCACACTTTTAGTAAAAGCATAAATCAGTTTTCCTTTTTCTCAAGCATGTTCTCCCGGCAGTTATCTTTCCTCTCACTGCCTCCACCTGATCACCTGCCACCCTGCTCAGCATTACCCCTCCTCCCTACACCCTGCCTCCAATACCTGATGGTCTTCAGGCAAAGAAAATATTGTTGGAATTGCATTTTGCTTCAAGTATCGAATACCCCATCGGATGTCAAGAGAGTCAGGAGTAAAATGGTCGCTACATAGGAACTGGTATTTACTGGGAACCCATGAATCTCGTTTCATATTCTTTAACCATTTTTCAAGTCTTTCTTTGTCATGTAGAGGAAACCTGAAATTAAAAAAGAAAAACTTTGCTGTATTTTTACAATTTCGCTGGATTCCAGCCTGCACATATACGTAACCCATGCATCAAGTGCTGCAAAAGCAAGGCAACCATTCCAACCATACAAGAGAACCCTCATGATAATTACTACCACATCACCTCGGCAGTACAGAGGACTAAGATGTAAGATGTGTAGCCAAAGCTTTGTCTGTGAAGAGTGGCTGGTAAAACGTAACTCAGAGTCCTTTCAAGTACAATACATGTGTTCCAACAAAAAATAAAACCAATTCATATTTTCTGTGGATTATGTTCTATTTTTATTTTGTTGTGTAGTTTGCCTACAACTAGAAAAGAGCTTTGTATAAACTATGAAGTCTTATTCAAATGTATTTCATATTTATATTATATTATATTAAATTAATTATATTACTATAAGTCAAATGATTTCTTGTAATTCAAAGAAGCATCAAGCTTTAGGCTCTTATTTATATTAGTATTTTTAAAATAAGCTAATCAAGCAGATGGTGTAGTTGAAATAAAATGAATACTACATCTTATAAAACTACTAATATTCCATTCTCTTTATGAGAATCAGCGTCAATTCTACCCATAAGTAATTCAGTCCAATATTTCTAGACTTCTATAACCAATGAACTGGGAACTCTAAAATTCAAGTTCTCAAAAGAGAAACTGACACAAGAAAAAAGCTAGACATGTAAAAAAGACTCAGGTATTTTATAATATGAAACAAATCAAATAGAAAAGAAAAAGAAAGGCAAGATAACTCTTTACATTTGTACTGACAATAACCTTGATTTAGAGTTGGCTCTTACATACTGCAATGTGTTTTATAGGCAAAACTAGATAACAACAGAAAACTTTCTCCTACTGGTCTAAATAGGATTGGGTTAAACTGTATCAGTTAACAATAACTTTTTTTTTTTACATGATGTTTCCTATTTTTTAAAAATAGTAAAAACATAAAGTTTCTCATACAAAAAGCAGTAGTTACACATTCCTGCCAATCCCAACCATTTAGTTTATGCTTTGCAGTAGCATGCTTCCCCCCACCCCCAAATACTGATAACTTTATACGATGCGAGGGGGAAACTGTGGGTACTTTGTAGGTAATAGTATTTAACCCTGATATCCTTACATGGAAAAATCAGATTATCTGCCTTTGGATGTTTTTACCATAAATACAATATTCATACATTGTTTGAAGATTTTTCAACCTTGCACAGATCAATAACAGGTTATGAGGAAGATGGCATTTAATAAAGGCATTTAAAGGCAAAGAAGAATTTTCAAAGGACCTGAATTCTGCTAGCAAGAGATAAATTCCTACTTTTTCCTGTTATATCTAAAATAAGAATGTGCCTTTTACAATATTTTATAATGTAATTTCATGTATAAGGATGCTGTTTGCAAATTATTCTTTTTGTACCTGTATGCTAAGTTTTCAGACAATTTAAGGGAAAAAAAAAGCACTTTGTGAATATTCTTATTGGTACCTGTACTACAATGCCTCCTCAATGGATAAATCTCTAAGAAATGTCCTAGAATGTGTTTCCTGTACACCTTAGTACCTAAATTGGTTCTATTTGTTTGGTAATTTTTTTTTCAGTCTCATTAATTCCCGAAAAAGCATAAAATAATCACAGTATTAACTGGGCACTAACTATATGTAGATATTAACTGAATACCCAAATTAATATAAATTTATACTATAGCTTGCTAGTGTTAGCATTACAGTAAAACCTTGGATTGCAAGTAACTTGGTTTGTGAGTGTTCCACAAGAAGAGCAAACATTTTTATTAGGTTGGTGCAAAAGTAATAGCGGTTTGTGCCATAATTCAAAATGGCAAAAACCACAATTACTTTTGCACCAACCTAATAATACACTTTAACTTGGTAAATGAGCGATGTCTTGCAATATGAGTAGTTTGTTTCCAGAACGAATTATGTTCGCAAACCGAGTTATTACTGTAGTAAATTCAATTCTTCAAGTTTGGTGCGATTAGGGTAATAAAAATAATTCAATTTTCCTTTTCTGGATTACACATAGAATATAAAAAACTCATTTAAAAAATTCCACTTTCAGTAAACTCACATTTTAAGGGAAAAAAAATCTTTATAATTGGCTTCCTTAGGTATTATTATTTTTCCCTCCTTAAAAACAGTAATTATGCAAACACAGATTAATTTAAAGAATTTTGAGTCTGGGGTTATGCCCCCCAAATCCAAGGCCAAATAAATCTGGGAAATATTGCGCTAAATCAAGGTCAACATGATCCTTTGATACAAACCTCAGAGCTATTAATATATCAGCCTTTTCCCATCAGTTGCCCATGGATCGAATATTTTTTCCCCAAAAAGTATCTCTTCATTTTGTGGAAGGACTTCAAGTAGGAAACAATTCGGGAAATACTGCCATATGTGAAGTATTTAAGGTTATCAGGTGTTTTTTTTTTGCCATTATTAAGATAACGGAAAGCAGTTCAGTGGCCAGAGAGTTAGGTCTACAGTAAAACAGGCTTCACAAATAACTGGTGAAAAATCAAAGAAAGTAAAAGACAACCAGATTCAAGCTAAATAAATTATTTTTAAGTACAAGAAAAAAGAAAATAGAATACTGTAAATATACTGATTTTCATATACAGAGGGTGCCCAAAACATGTATATACACTTTAAGAAAGGGAGAAACTGTATTAAAATCATGCCTGATGGTAACCACTTTTAGCCCCTCTTTTAATTGCAAAAGTCAAACGTGAATTGTATCCCACTTTTGTTGCCAGTATATATTATTACAATTTTAATACAGTTTTCTCCTTTCTTAAAATGTGTATACTTTGTTTTTAGCACCCTCTGTATAAAGTATATATACTGGATACCAAGTGCTGTTTTACCTTTTTACACACTAAATGTGAATTAGGTACTATCAATACCTCCAATATCTTTATAGGTGAGAGATCATAGGCACAGAGATTTCAAATCATTTGCAGAAGCTCATTCATCTACAAAGTGGTGGAAGCAGGATGTGAACCTATTCAGTAAGTCTGGCTCTGGAGCCTGGACTCATAAATGATTACACACTACTGCTTCCCCGTTCTTAATAAAAACGAGTGCATACTTCAATGATTTCACGGAACTATTTTGTGCAACTAGTATTCAGAGTAATACCCAGTTCCCCCTTTTGAATGAAGAGTATATATAGAGCCCTGAGCAGGAGATAGGTTCTAATTCTGGCTCGGCCACAAAACCTTCAAGATCAGTTACCTACTTTCTGAAAGGCCTGTTTCCTCAGGAGGAAATGGAATTAAATAGCATCTACGCGACCTAACTCACAGTGGGTGTAAATGAACGCTGAGCGCACCTGCCCACCTGGCAGGTTTGATGTGCGCCTTAAGCGGTGGTTCCTGTCTTTCTACGAAATGAGATCAGGTGTGATGGGGAAATGCTCTGAAAACAACATTATCCCGCGCAAACTTTGCAATTAACACCCAAACAGGCCCCCGAGCCTCGCCACTGGCCGAGCGTCCAGTTGGGCCTTTCTAGGTCAACTGAACTCGAGCCTGCACGCCCCACTCCCTGGCAGTGACAGATCATGCCCGGAGAGCTAAGGACGAATTTCTTAGAGCAGACAGGCGATGCCCCAAACCCTGGCCCTAAATGCCACAGGACCGCCGCAAAAGGCAAGGCTGGCGCTTCTGCTCCAAGGGCAACTTACGGGTAAAAACTCAACTTCCGGTCTTTATTATTGCGTCCCCGGCGGTTCTTACAGCAAATCGCTGCGCAATAGCGAGGCATCTCTCCGGCGTGGCTCTAAGAGACCCAGGCCGATGAGGGGCGCAGGCGTGCCACCCCCCCCCAGCAAGTCAAGGCCTCCGGAGCCACCGCGCCTGCGCGGGGATGGGCCAGCAGGAAAGACGCCGCCACTGTCGACTCACTTCCGCTTCTGCGTGCTTCCGCACCGTCCTCTCTGCGGGGTGGAGCCGGAAGTGACGCGTAGGCTGAGCGGCAACAACAGTTTTACACGTGCGCGTAGGGCGTTAGGGTCACGTGGGGCAGCGAGAGCCAATCGGGAAGCGTTTCGTGTAGGTCTTCTCCAGAGGTGGAGGCGCCCGCGGCGGCCGCGCGCCAGTGGGGAGCCAACCGAGACGGGAGGCGGCGGCTGCGGCGGCGGGAGGAGGGTGAGGTCGGTGGAGCATCGGCAGCGGGGAGAGCGCGGGCCCCTGGAAGCCCCGGAGGCCCAGGTGAGGGACCCGGCCCGAGCAGCTGCGTGGAGCCGGTCGTCTTGGCCGGCGCGTCCGTCTTGTGGAGGAGCAGTAGCCCACCGAGGGTGCGGATCAGGGACGCGGCCGGAGAGACGGAGAGGGAGGGCTTCAAGCGTCCCCGAGGCTTTGGTCGGCCTCTGTGGGCTAACTGGGCCTGTGTAGCCCCCGCGGTCGCCGCAAGGGCTCGGGGCTGCCCGGTGTTGAGGAAGGGAAGGGGAAAAGGCGGCCGGACCCCAGCGGGGTGCGCTCTGCGTTGGGGGCTGTGCCGCTGGCTCTCTCAGGCGTCGGACAGCCTTTCCCAGGCCTGGTCCCGGGCCCGCGGTCAGCCGCGGCGGCCGCGCCTGGACGCCAGGGGCCTGTGTCGGTCGCCGTTGGGGGCAGGCTGGACCGTCCAACCCCGTCGGCCCCCGGCTCTGGGGCGCAGGGCCCGGGCTGCTGCCCGGTGGGCCCCTCTTGGGCGTGACAAGTCAGTGTAGTGCAAAAGTCAGTTTATTAAAAAAAAATAGTAGATACTCGACTTGGAACTGGGATGACGTTGATGAAACGCGTAAGCTGCCTCCCTGCCGGGTTGAGACCCGCCCACGAACTAGGGAGCGACCCGCAGTGGCTGCGGCCCGTGCTCTCTAACCAGGAGCTTGTACGCGATGCCTGGTACCCGTGAGCCTGGGTGACGCCCTGGGACGGGGTCATCCACCTGCTGGTCACGCCCAGGAAAGGCCCCGGGAGAGGCCGGCAGGCAGGCGGCTGCCGCAGAGCGGGGCCTTTCGTCAGCCTTGGCAGGTCCTCCGAGGTCGTTCAGGACGCCTGCGACCGCGGCCCGCAGTCAACGCAGTCCCTCCTTTTGAGTCCTAAGTCATTAAATCGGTGCTATCAAGAAGCTGAAGTTCATCTTCCCTAAGGTTAGAGAAGTCGTTTAACGGCCACTGGGAAGCTTAGAGAAGAACGTGACGTCCAGTACAGACTGAACGTTCGTTTTTCTGTCAGCCTTAGCAGAAATCTTAAATGCTGTTAACGAATGGGTTTTTGGCAAGACTTACCCGTGCGTTTCGTTAAATATTTGCGACCTTACAGTGAAAAAAAAAAAAAAAAGTGACCGCGCTCTCTTGTGTTCTTGCATCGTCCATATCATTGCGATGCGCAGCGTCTCCGTCCAGGCCTCGGCTCCCCTTGCAATGAGAGCTGAGGGGGGTGCTTTCTTACGGAGTAGCGATGACTGCTTTACACATAATTGAGCTCTTCACCGTGGTAATGGTATTTTATCCGCTGTGACGCTAAAATGCTTTCAGCCTCCTTGGAATATGAATTCTTGATGATTGAGATCCTTTAAAGTATTACATGGATTTTCCACCCTTTTTATGATGTCACACAGGATGGCTTCACTATTAACTGGTAAAACTCAGCTACTGAATATATTGGTGTCTACTTTTCGCATGGCCAGACTGTTAGTGGAAAGGCAAAGACAAGAAAGCTTTTTCTCAATCTAATTGAATTATATTTGCTCTCAAGAAGGTTACGGCTATTTGAGGGGGGGGGGGGGAATAAAGCCTCTATCAACGAAATAACATGGGATAAGTACAAGAGACTATATGCTTACCATTTGGCACTGTGCTAAGTATACCTTATAACCTAAACGTTCATGGAGTTTCTTTTAAAAGAAAAATTCTTAAGATAGCTTCATGGATATTTTTTTCTTTTCTCTTTTAGGATATTAGAAATGGCTACTCCCCAGTCAGTTTTTGTCTTTGCAATCTGCATTTTAATGATAACGGAATTAATTTTGGCCTCAAAGAGTTACTATGATATCTTAGGTGTGCCAAAATCGGCATCAGAGCGCCAGATCAAGAAGGCCTTTCACAAGTTGGCCATGAAGTACCATCCTGACAAAAATAAGAGCCCTGATGCCGAAGCAAAATTCAGAGAGATAGCAGAAGGTAAGTCAATGACTATCTGAGGTCTCACAAATAGAAACCAGCAGAAGAGAATGACAGCTAAGAAGTGTGTGTATTTGAGGATTTTGTGGAGATGGGAGAGGAGTTGGCTCTACATTTAAATATAGTGAGGTTCTTGAGACTATTTACTTATAACAGATACTTTGATTCCTGAATGGATGGGTGAATGGTAGCATTTTTTTTTATTGGCATACAGATTTTAAAATGTTGAAAGTGTATTATTTTCTTTATATTTTTAAAATCACTTATTATTTCTATGTCAAGATGAATTTTTGATACCCAAAACTTATAAACAACCTTAATGAAACATAGTTTTTACTAAGTATGGAGATGGACTATAAAAAATTCTAAGTGTAAACAAATTTAAAGAGCTAAAACTGCTATGTTGTTTTTCTTCCTCACTTGATCTACATTTCAAAGCCACATTTGTCTTTAAAGGAAAAGTATGAAACAGATGTTGACTTAAGACTAGTTCTAAAACAAATTGTACCTTTTGAGCATTCGGTGATTAATGGTGGGTGGAGTTAACTGAGTAAGGGGTTGGAGTTAAACTCGTACTTCAACTAGCAAGGAAGTGAAAAATCTAAATTCCTCTCAATTAGTTATATTTGACCACCACATTCTTTCGTAATGATTTTACACAAATAAGAAGAAGAATATGTCATTGTTGCCCATGCGTTTATTTGTAAATGGTAACATTCATTTAACAAATATTTATTGGATATTTACTAGGGGCAGGCACTGTGCTAACTGCTGCTAGTATGTACTCAACAAGACAAAGTCTGCCTTTTGTAACTTCCATTTTACCTATATTCTTATGTTTTTGGTGTTTTGGATTTACTTATAATGTGAAGAAGTCCTTCCCTAAAATAGAGAACTGAATTTACTTATTTGAGGATGTTTGGATATATGCAATGTTGATTACCTTCAGGTATTAAAGTATTTTTGTTTCTTTCAGCATATGAAACACTCTCAGATGCTAATAGGCGAAAAGAGTATGATGCACTTGGACACAGTGCTTTTACTAACGGTAAAGGACAGAGAGGCAGTGGAAGTCCTTTCGAGCAGTCATTTAACTTCAATTTTGATGACTTATTCAAAGACTTTGGTTTTTTTGGTCAAAACCAAAACACTCGGTCCAAGAAGCATTTTGACAATCACTTCCAGGCACGCCAGGATGGTTCTAGTAGACAAAGGCATCATTTCCAGGAGTTTTCTTTTGGAGGTGGACTGTTTGATGACATGTTTGAAGATATGGAGAAAATGTTTTCTTTCAGTGGTTTTGACACCACCAGCCGGCACACAGTGCAGACTGAAAATAGATTCCACGGATCTAGCAAGCACTGCAGGACTGTCACTCAACGAAGAGGAAACATGGTTACTACATACACTGACTGTTCAGGACAATAGTACATTCTTTTTCTGTTCTCACTAAACCCAACTAGTTGACTGTTCTTCAGTATCGCTGATGCAAAACAATGTTCTGTGACCTATTTCGACAAGTGCATGATTTCACCTAACTTGATACAGCTATTAAATATATTTAAATTGTATTTGACAAATTAAGCAACATTCAGTTAGAGAAATAGCTAATTATTAATTTCCCCAATTAGGAAAGATTCTTTAAAAAAAAAAAAATCTGCCTGGTCTTTTCGCTCTCCTGCCCTTGGGCTTATTAACATGGCCAGTTTTATTACCAAGAAAAGATTGACTTTGCCTGATATATATATATATATATATATATATATATATATATATATGTTAAACTTTAAAAGTTATTGTAGATTTAAATTGTGTGAACGTGAATGACTTTTGCAGTGAATCCTTTGCTAATTTAAAATTGCATGCTCTGTAGCACCTCTGACTTGGGTTGCTAAGTGTAGTGAAACTGTATAATGAGTCATTTAGCAAAGGATAGCAGTATCTAGGTAAATTTCCACGGAAAGCTTCAGAATGGCATGGGTTAATGTTTACCACAGAGTCATGCCTTTTTACAGTCAAATTGGAGTAAAGGAAATGATTGTATTGCTGCGTAGTCATTTAGGCTGAGAAAGAGCTGAAAACTTAAGAGATATTGCCAAGAGATTGTTAACTGTTTGGTCCCTGGCTAATGATTTTGTAATGTTGGAATCATAGCTACTTTACATATCTTTTCACATTTCTTTCTTAATTGTTGGCTCTCTAGGGCTTGATATGGATTTATGTATTTTTTGTGTGTGTGGTTCCTCTTCTTTGCACTCATCTTTATCTAGAGATTGACTAATACCTCATTCTGTTTGTAAGAACAGCCAGTAATTTCTGCGCAACCTTATTATGTGCAATATTTTTAAATTCTAAGAAATATGTGCTTTTGTTTTCAAATAGACTTATTTCTTTAGTCCTGCACTTTTCCACATTATACTCCATATGAGTATTAATCCTATGGATACATATTACAAGTAGTAAATGTGTCATACAACATTGTGTGTGAGTGACAGAAATACAATATTTACAAGATGATGTTCTTTGTTATCATTTCATTGTTAAAAGATTATTCTGTAATTTAGAGGTACACGTATAAGCAACGGGGATGCTTATGCTGATTATAAACTATATTCCAGAAGTTACTTTTGACCTGAAAACTCTGATATGACCTTCTCTGATTGTCTTTTAGTAATTTTTCTTGCTTTCTTGTTGTCATCCTCCCTCATAAATTTTGGTAGCTTGAAGATTTTATTATAATTTTGGTGTGTTTGCTAGGAGCAAGTATTTTTTGCCACTGGTGGTTTCCTTTTTAGGCCTGGTTGGGAAAAAGCAGAAACTTTGCATAAAGCTATATTTGTTAATAACTTTATTTTGAAAACTGAGCAAAATGAACTTACTATATTTATGTACCTTAATTTTCTGGAAGTTAATACCTACTACTTTTGTTTGAAAATAAGAAAATAACTATACCTTGAATTTTGATCTAAGGGTTGATTATCCATAGCCTATCAAACAGAACAAATAAGACCCCCCCCCCAAAAAAAAAGTTTCAAATTAGGACTAATTTTAAGGATTATTTTTATATTGTTAGCACCTGTCCCCTTTTTCTCCATGGCCTTATTATCTTCCTGTTTTTTCCCATTCTGGACACTTATTTGAACCCCCTCTTTTCTTTTTTAACCTCCCTCTTGGCTCTTTTAGGAGGTGGTCATGGGAACCTCTAATCCAGCCAGTTGGTCAGAACATAGGTAATAACCTGGGTATGCAGTTGGCATGTGAAGCAGAAAGACGTCTTGTAGGACTGAGCCTTAGCCTGTGGGATCTGATTCTATCTCTGAGTAGATAGTTTAAGACGAGTTGAATTGTAGGTCACCCATCTGTGTCTGGAGCTTCACTTGGTGAGGTGCCGGGGACCCTGTCCCCCAACATACATTGGAAATTTGGATCCCAGAATACGCTTAGCTTCTTTGAGCTTTTAGTATGCTAATCTATATTGTGCATGTATCGTTTGCCAAATTGATTAGACCATGGAGCCATTTTTACTGAGTACCCTTAATTATATCCAAATGTTCAAAAGTAAAAGTTTGGTAAATAACTGGCCAAAATAAAACTGAGGAAAAAAATCCTGATGAATCTTTAGAACATGTGCATGAACACACAAAGCAGAGCAAAGATGAAAGCAGGTGTGCTTGTGTTCCTATACATTGCTTCTTCCCCTGTCTCTTCCTCCTCCGTCCATTTCAGTTACTAGGACCTGAAAATGATCAGACCAGACCCATTATGATTTTTTATTGAGTCTAGCCTGCATTTCATCAACATGCTTTTCTTTTGATCCCTGCTCTAGCTATTTAAATAATAGTGTTTTTTCAGGACTATTTTACACCTATAAAAGCCATCATCAAGCAAATTATGACAGTACAATATATGTAAATGAAAAACTTCTTTATTATTTTCCCAAGAAAATAAAAATTAGTAATTATTGTTAATTGTATTTTAAAATAAGACGGTATTTGAGGACAGAAGAATGAAAATGTGGCTATTAGGATAAAGAGCAAATCATTCTTACAGTTTCATCCTTTTACTAGTTGAATCAGTATTAATAGCTGATGATAGTTCTGACAGCTGAGTAGTGAATTGTATTCTTAGGAACAGAATCATCACATATAGATACTTGTACACCTATACATATATTTTTAATTAAATATATTGGGGTGACAATAGTAAAATTACATAGGTTTCAAATGTACAGTTATATAATACATCATCTATATATCACATTGTGTGCTTACCACCCAGAGTCAGTTCTTCCATCACCATACATTTGACCCCCTTTACCCTCTTCTACCATCCGCCCTCCCCGCTTACCTCTGGTAACCACTAAACTTGTCTGTGTCTATGAGTTTTTGTTTCTTTGTCTTGTTCCTTTGTTGCTTTCAGTTATATCCCACGAATGAATGAAGTCTATGGTTCTTGAACGTTTCCTGTCTGACTTATTTTACTTAGCATAATAATCTCAAGATCCATCCATAAGGTGGCAATATTTCATCTTTTCTACGGCAGACTATCAAACTAAAAAGCTGCACAGCAAAAGAAACCTATACATATTTGTCAAGGTGAAATATCTTGTGTCTGCAAAATAATGAGGTAAATGGAAACTATAAGTGAATATCACAGTCTTTTAAGAATTATTTTTACTCTGCATATATGCATAAGGAAACAGTTACCTTATTCCTAATGTAAACATTTGTAATAAAGCTTCTGGTAAGTGCTGGCAAGATGGCCTTATCTTGTGGGAGAGCACAAGGATTCTTTTCTCCTAACCCCAACCACACCAAAAAATAAATCATTACAAAAGGGGAAGGAGGAGGGAATGGAATAGAAGACACAAACAAGCCTAGAAAAGCAGTGTAGAGTTTTGTTGGGAAGAGTTGCAGAGAAATGAGCAGTATTTGTTGGGGAAGTGGGGTCAAAAGTTCCCCTACAAAGTAGCAAGAATTAGTTTAACTGACCTCTGGAAAACAGTACCAGGTGTTGGAAGGGAGCATTGTCTGCAAAGATCTGAGGGAAAAATGTCTTGGAACTTAGAACTTGGTAACCAGACAAATTATGAATAGAAGGTGAGACCAAAATAAAGGTCTTTTAAAAATGCAAGAATACAAAGATTACCACCCACGTGTCCTTTATGAAAACAAATTACTGTTTTGTACTCTAAATTACAGTGTACAGCTTGCAAAACCACAATGGCAGCTGAGTACACGTATACCCTCTTGAAGGAATTAACAAAGCTAGAAAGAAATTGAGAATTTAACACATGGGAATTTCTCATTTGGGAAACAAGGATTTTTTTTTCCTTCATGGATCTAATTTACAACAAAATTGTTCCTAGAACTGTATTATAAATGTTTTTCGATCAATCTATAAACAGCTCAGACAAGATGTAATTACATTTATAGGATAATTATGTAAAATGTGCCTTACATTGGAAATGGAAGGACAAAGGAGAAGGCAAGGAGAAAGAAAAAGGTTAGTGGATTCTATCATTCATGGTAGGCACTCGATTGATTGTGTCTAAAGTTGATAAAGACCGGTGATTTAAACATACTTTTCAGTTTCTTGTTTTTTTTAAAGATTTTATTGAGGAATTGGGGGAGAACAGACAAGGTGCTCTCTTTTTGTTCTTCAGTCTAGTTGTGGAGGACGTCGCTTCACGGGCCCATGTTGGTATTATCATTGCGCTCTTCCTGGCTGAGGTAGATTGGTCACTGGCCCCTGGATGGCCACTCACGGCGGCTCTTGGCAGCTCACACCGGTTGCCAGCCACTCACAGTAGCTCACGGCAACCCACTGCAGCCTATGCCGTCGCCGGTGACTCACGGCAGCCCAGCTCCAGGTCGAGCTGTTGTTCACCATCTTAGCTGTAGAGGGCGCAGCGTCACTGGCCCTCATGTGGGATCCGAACCCGGGCCCTGCTGCTCAGAGCTGGTGTCCCAAGCCAATTAACCAACACGCCACTAGGTCGGCTCGATACTTTCAGTTTTAATGACAACCATCAGATCTGCTAACAGGCACTGGTAACATGATAATTTCTGACAAGTGGGACTGGAAGGCCAGGGAAGACTACATTTTACATCAAACTATAATGTTTGAATTTCTGTTTGTGAATGCATTGTTTCTGCATTAGTGTATTTGTAAAGAAAACAACGAAAAAAAAACCTAGTGTATCAGCGTGTCTGCAACTAACAGAAAACTCCTAAATTAAATATACCCAGACAACAAAAGCTTATTCTGTTCCCTAAGAGGTCAGACAGTTCCAGGAGCAGCATGCCAGGAATCTGGCTTTGCTGTTTTAGAGCTGTCATGGCTCTGATCTCTGTTGGCGTCATCCTGATGGCTGTCATGAGCAATGAAACCTTCTCTAGAAGGCCCTCAAAAGACTTCCCCTCCCATCTTGTTGGCCAGAAATGTTCCCTGCTGTTACATGTCCACAGCCAAATCAGTCACTAACAAAGGGTATATGACCACCATGATTGGTCTGGGCCAGTCAAGACCACCCATGGGGACTGGGCTGTTCTCCCCTAAAACTTATGGTCCCCCACAAAAGTGTTCACATCTGGAGAAAAAGGTGCTGTATTAGAGAAGAATTAGGAGGATGGATGATGGGAAGGGTGTGTATACTACAAACAATTGAATATTAAAACATGTTAAATGTTTTTACTTCCTTTATGACTTATTCTTCACCATTAGATTTTTAAAAAGACAATTGGGCTCTTCTCTTTGTACCCCTGAATGATGAATGAATGTTTGTTTGAGTTAGAAAGCAAGCCCACCTTAAATACTGCAGAATCTTGGTTTTGGTAGGTTTAACATGTATGGTTTCAGCAATTTGGGACAGACCCTTAAATTCCATAATGTAATCCGTGATTTTTCTGAATTACAGAATTGAATTCCATGCCTTACTAGTCTACAAGTCAGGATATAATCATTTAGGTAGTAAGTAGGCCTAGCCACCTATTTAACATCTACATATCAAAATACCTTTGAATAGTTTGTATTTATCACCATGTATATATTTTAAGAGGGGAATTATTTGCTAAATGGTGTTCACTAAATTAGAGATCCGAGTCTCTATCATCAAAGTTAAGGCTGTTTGATTCCTTTTTACATGAAGATGGCCACTACCTGGTCCATTTACCAGATCAAATCTTTTGCCAGCCACCCCTTTCTGTTCTGACCCACCCTGCCTCAGTTAAACCTCAATTTTCCTCCTGTATTTGAATATTGGCTTTGAATGTTTAACTACTGGCCTGCAGGGAGTCAAATCTACACCTGGATGATTTCCTTGAGCTTTGGCCCTATGACTCACTGTTTTCGCCTTTCCCCCACCAGCTTGTGCTGTGGAGGTTCCAACCGTGCCTCACAGTAGAGACTTTTGTGGGTTATGACACATTATGTAATTGTCACTCATTAAATTAGCAGTTTAAATCAGTATTACAAACACTTTCAACCATCCAATTTGTTTTAAATTGTATTTAAAT